ACCAATGGCGCAGTCAATAAGCTGCTAGGAAAGATAGGAAACCATATGTAATATGGCAATATTTATGGGTTGAAGCACCTATAGTTAAGCCACTCGCATAGGCGGAAAGGGACAGCATAAGTCCAAGTTTAATCGTCGGTAGTCTAGCCATGCAGGGCATGATCGTATGCTTGGCCTCAGACAAACAATAATTGACCCAGCAGGTTTGCTTTCAATCTAAAAATGTTCGGGAAACGCACGTGCTCGGATATCCCTTCTGTCTTTTCAACCGCAATAGCCCGTAAACACAGGTCGGTAGGAGGCGAGGAAGGAAAAAAAGGTTTCAGTGAAAAAATAAAAAGCTCCACTCGCCGCTGGTGCACCAACTTTAATGAACTGGGAACGTTTTCTATACTTTCCAGCGTCGACTTCCTCTATGATCTTTCGTCTCCAGGTCACTTATAGTTTCCCGACTGATTAATTTGCCGTCGTCCTGTCTCACGCCTTACTTGGAAGATTTAGTGGCCAATAATTATTTGTAGCAGTCAACTTTAAGGCCACCTAGAAATAACTTTTCTAGGCTATCGTTAGTTAATGTTCACCGATCGCTAACGGAACTCACTCGTCCCGCTCTGCCTTCGGGCTCATTCTCGGTGAATGTTAATCAACAAGTGTCAATGTCTCCCGATGTAAACCGGCAAGACAACGAGCCCGTGGCTCAATGGTTAGAGAGTTAGACTTCTAATCAAAGGGTGTCTGGTGGGGCACCATTTGGGGTTGGGTATGACTGGCTGATGACAGATAATGAGCCAGAAATTGCCATTCTAGTCTCCCTTATCTTCACCGACAATACTATCTGCCTTTCTATACCATCTATCCATCTTTGTTTCGAGCACTTCGAAGTAGTTTTGTCTTTCATTTAAAATAATCTTCTTCTTCTCTTGTTTATCAAGGGTAAACTCAAGGATACCTGGCCACCGATATCGCATATAGCCAATTACAGCTCCATAAGACGTCTTAGACGCGACAGAGACACTTACTCCACCCATTTCGGTAAGTATTAAATTGTGACTTCCTGTTTAATTATAAGCAAATGTTTTAAATGAAATACAATTCCTTAGACATTAGATGCCCTAACAGAAGCAAAACCCAAGCATGGTTACGGGCGAGACTGTTGTGATTAAATTAAGTACAATTGTGACTATCATCATCGCTCTAATGTCTAAATAGGTCTCAGTGACACTGTGTTTGAAATTCTGTTGAACCATTTTATTCTGTCGAAAATAAAAGCTCTTTTAACTTCCAGATCACCGCGAGGCCGGACCTCGATTCGTAAGACATCCACACAACCAGATCGTCCGGGAAGGAAATACTGCCCAATTTGATTGTCGTGTAATTGGAGTGTCAGAGCCAATAGTCACATGGTAAGGAACAGACTAGTCCTTCCCTAAGAATTTCTTGTTGCATCCAAACTCTGTCCAACTTGCTGAGGTTAAAGCCAATTGCTGCAGTCATATCGCCTGGATGATTCGTTAGGTTATTCCAGTAAAAGACAAAAGACATCAACAATAGCAATGGCTGTGCAACCCTCCTAAGAAAGCCCTGTCACAATACCAAGTTTAAAGCACAAGCTACATATATAACTGTTAGTAATACACATGCATGTGTGTGTAAATCAGGCAAAATGAAATATCTAGTTTGCTTTTAAAACGAGCTCACTGTCTATGTACTTCCAGGACTTATCGCGGTCAGCAACTGCAGCAAAGCATCAAGTATATGCAGCGGCACTCTGGATTCGACTTCTCCCTCAAGGTCAGTCGCACAAAGAAGTCCGACGATGAGGGCGAATATATTGTCCGTGCTGAGAACAGTTTCGGACGAAAAGAAAGCTCCGCGTACCTCACTGTCGATTATATTCGGGAAGTAACTCAGGGTAAATTCAACTATACTATCTCTCCCTTGCCATATTTTTGGTCTTCTCCAGCACGAAAAAGTTCGCTTAGCTCATGTACTTTTGAAACTAATGGATGTCTGAATTTTAACGAGCCGCTGTGATCCAACTGATACTATGTGGAAAACAGTTTTCTCGTCTTCGTTTCTCTATTGCGCAATGCCTTTACCTTTCTTACCGATATTCACACACACATTATAATTTCACTGTCTCGTCTAAAGAACCACCTCCGCCAGTGAAGAGGAAGTTCGAGTTGAAGACGTATGAAGTCTGGAAAGAGGATGAGTATCCGCCACGCTTCTCCCGCATGCTTCAAAATCGGTTTGTGCAAGATGGTAGTCATGTGAAACTGATGTGTACCGCGGACGGAAATCCAACTCCGACATTGACTTGGTACAAGGTACGTTGGTCAACTTCCATTCAGAGGCTAAGCACTGTGACATATGACAGCGCAAGCCAAAAGCTTTGCAGTGTTTTGTTATAGGAATTTTGTCCGTTTTGTCTAGCCCGCATTCGGAGCAGAACAACCCGAAACATTCGAGTAGACTGCTAGGCGGTGAAACAACTAAATACCTTTGAGGGAAAAAAGTATTGTGTAGTATTTATGCCTTACACATCCAAAACGTAGTTCAATCTTTCAGTTAACAGGAATTTCTGCTCTTTTTCCAGCTTGCAGTGCATTTTTTACTAGGATCTCCGCCTTGTAGACAGCCTAGTTCTTCACCAAAATCAGTATAAGGATGAAAGTAGTGTGTGCATTTTATAAAAGAAATAAGATAATAGTAATAATTTTCACAGGGATCAGTCGCGATGAAAGGACTACACACTACTCAAAACACGTCTTCATCCGAAGGTGAATTGCAGAGGTGGCCGGAACTAGACACCTTCAAAAGTCAGCATGCTGCGAGAGGTTCTTTTATCTTAGATTATGGCTACGGGACCTTATTCAAGTAGAATACCACAGCACTTGTGTTCGATTATTTAAACTACCGCCGTGGACAGTCTTCCAGGGGGGGGGGAACGTCCTGATAATGCTGTGGGATACTGGTAATGTCAACCGAAGACTTGATAGCTAGGTACCTAACCGTCTCTAATGTGGAAGGTACTTCCCTAAAAAAATATGCTCTCTAGGCAGCCGCACCACCACTTTGACCCTCTGATGTGAGGGTGTCTCAGCCATCTTCATTCTTGATACGCCTTCACATGATGCTAGCAATGCACCCACTGTAGTACGCTGAGATGTTGGCCGTGGAGAGGAAAATCGTAAGCACGTTGGAAAAGCTTAGCGGCAATTACAGATAGACTACACAAAAGTAGAGCATTCTGCTTTCTACTCAATGAGCGTGACCGTTTCCAAATCAGAGGATAGGAAGACGTGGCTGATTGGATAGACACTATTGCTCCCGGGACCATTACCAATAAAGGCAAGGAAGACTATAATGGGGTGGTAAGAAGCCTTGTTAGCCTGTCGTACGTCATCTCCAGGGCTTGGCG